TTTGACTGTTGACAGTATTTTCTGATTTATGGAGGGATAAAAAGAGAAATCTAAAATCCCCTCTGTAAAAACCTTTGCCTCTAATATGTCAACAAAATCAAACAAGAATTTTGAACCTGGCTTTATCCTATATATATTTTTTTTGACTGTTGACAGTATTTTCTGATTTATGGAGGGATAAAAAGAGAAATCTAAAATCCCCTCTGTAAAAACCTTTGCCTCTAATATGTCAACAAAATCAAACAAGAATTTTGAACCTGGCTTTATCCAGTGTTCAGATTAATCTTCTGGAAATGTATGCAAATTAGCAGATATTTAATTAGAAAAAGCCTCATTTCCATATTTATACATAGCATTTCAGAAAACTCGTAATACATGTAATCATGTTTAATGTAATCAATCAACTGGCTAAGTATGATTATATCTAGTTAGTACTATAGCATGTATCTCTTCGTCAGTGCGTCTCATTGAGAAGGATCACGTTTCCTGCAGGTGTTTGTATTTTGTGGCCGTCGTGTACTTGAGATTATCTGTGATTCTAGTCAAAGCTGTGCCTTGCTGACGCTCACATATGACTTTATTGAAACCGTCTCAAGGAGACGAGCAAAACCTTTGTATCTCACGCACAGATGCACATCAAGATCTCAGAAAAACGGTCATTTTGTTACGACTCGAACTGTGCTCAAATTCACTCAAGATACCAATTCAGAGACCTCAGTATAAAATTCTCATCAAATTTTTGCAAAATCAAATTGTCTGAGCTGCGCTACATTTATTGATTCATTTATTTGCCGTATAAGACATTAAAGTGTGTTCTGTCACTGCATATCAGTGCTCAGTTAATGTGTGTTCACACAATTCTTCAGCCAAGTTTAAAGTTACAGAGGCTTGCCTCTGTTTTAATCTGTTTTTATACAGTCTATGGTTTTAATGCATGCCCAGTTTTTAATGCATATCCAGGCATTCACAAGAGATATATTGTTGAATACTGTGTGTTCATGTTTCTTCTACAAAATAGTTACAATTGTTAGTAAGCTGTTTCAAAGCTTATTTTTACTTGTCTTGTGGCTGACAAGTTTAATGCATTGTCGTGTTACCATTTCTTTGGTGAACAATAAAAAAAAACATTTGTGCATTGAAATCTGTTTTTCTTTTTTTTTTCCAATTTAATTGAAACAATGTTTAATACAACAAATCTAAAAAATCTGTCTAATTACATTGACATTACATAAATATAACATTTATCATTACTTAAAAACATTTGTTAATGTTATTTGCTAATATATATATTTTTGTAGTTGTAGCTTACAATAGTTATTTTATGCAACCTACAGTATACTCCAAATAATAATTGATGTGAACTAATGATTTTGACTGAGTAAAGACTACTAATGTAAACTTGATTTGTCTACTGCATAAACTTAAGGTTCTATGTTAATTCAACTAAAGCTGTTTAGTTTCACCTTGTGTAAAAACTAGAATGGTTTAGTGCAACGGGTTTCCTCGCAAATTTCTAGTAAAGTCAACTAATTCGGGTTACGAGTGCATGATGCAAATGAGTTTGTTTCTTCATCAGATTTGGAGAAATTGCATCACTGTCTCACTGCAAGAAAATGGGTGCCGTCAGAATGAGAGTCCAAACAGCTGATAAAAACATCACAATAATCCACAAGTAATCCACAGCACTCCAGTCCATCAGTTAACATCTGGAGAAGACAAAAGCTGAAACAAATCCAGCATTAAGACGTTTTAACTTCAAACTGTTGAGTCCATAATCCATAATAATGCTTCCTCCAGTGAAAAAGTCCATCTCCTGTTGTCTCTCACATCAAAATCCAGCCACATATGTGTTTAGAGCTGTTTAAACGCTGAGTGGTCTGGTCTGAATCAGGAGAGAAATCTGCACAGATCAAGCACTAAGCTCTAAACAAATATGTGTGTGGATTTTTGTGTGAGAGACAACAAGAGATGGACTTTTTCACTGGAGGAAGCGTCATGATGGATTATGGACTCATATTTTAGCCGGAAGCAATGGTTTGAAGTTAAAAACGTCTTGATGGATTTGTTTGTAACAAACACGCAGCTTTTGGCTTCACAAGATGTTAATTGATGGACTGGAGTGGTGTGGATTACTTGTGATGTTTTTATCAGCTGTTTGGACTCTTATTCTGACGGCACCCATTCAGTGCAGAGCATCCACTGCTGAACAAGTGATGCAATGCTACATTTCTACAAATCTGTTCCCATGAAGAAACAAACTCATCTAGATTTTCAGCAAATTTTCCTCCAAGTCTCATTATCTTTGAAGAAAAACTTCAGAGTAATAGACATTTCCTCCGGTGACAAAAATCTTGGATCTGGAGTCAATGTAACGGTGCGGGACAGACCAATCTTTCAGGATGTTTCAGGATGACAGAATGTGTTTGTTTAGCACAGGAAAACTGTAGGATTCGGAAGAAAGTTAGACAAGGAAATGGAAACACAAAGAGTGATTCTGAAAAACGATGCAGCAGAGGGACCCTAGCGAGGGTGCACACGGGTTTTGGGGCTTTCAGTGGCTCAGCACGATGCTTCCCAGAACCCTGGGGTGCCGCCAACACAAACCCCGGGATGCCTGTCTGACCGGGGGAGGGACACAGCGGCGCCACGCTGATTTCCAAGACAACTTATCTCTCCTTCAGTGATAATACTGTCAAAATAACAGCCAGGATACAGCAGAGAGGAACTAGTTAAACCTCTAGCAGGGCCTGCCCATGTTAGATGACTCTCTGAGGGACAATATGAACATGTATCTCATTCATTCATTCCCTTGTTTTGAATGTCTTGCTATCTCTCTATCTTTCTTTTTTTAATTTAATTTTCCAAAATGTATCAAAAAAACAAACGTGCACATGTCCGTCTAATTTTTTTTCTGTATTGGCATACACTCACGAACAAGTGAAAATGAAGAAAAAATGTAATTAAAATAAAATAAATAACAAGCCACAGTCAGTATTAAAATAAACCACACTTTAAAATAAAATAAAATTCAACAAGGTATTAATGGACAGTAAACTACCCTATTACATAATAGACTGCAAGACTAATTTATTATTAACTTTACACACACTTGCACACAAAACAAACCAATGAATATTGAGGAAAATGTGCCTTTCAAGGTCAAAACTGAGCTGAACCGAAGTAAAACACAATGAACAGTGTGCCAGGACAAATCAGACGAGCTCAATCAATGCATTAACACACAGCGACATCTACAGGAACTGAGGAGCATTGCATCTTCACAGTCACTGCTCACAAGTTCAAGCACAGTAGCCTACAAGAAGGAAGGCTCACATCAAAAATAGTAACAACCATAAAATTTAAAAAGATAAAAAATGTACGAGAATAGCAGAGTTCACACCATACTATATCGTTGGAATCACTTTCAAAGCGATTTTTGTTTCCAGCCGATGAACGATAAAAACACTGACAACTGTTTCTTAACATAAAGATATGACAAAGATTTTTGGTACACATTATCTTTAAGGTGTCTAGTATTAATATATGAATTCACATATATTCAGTTTTGTTGAGTGTGGTCATAGAATGAGTAAACATGTTGATAACAGGTGGGATAACAGTGAACTTAGGTCTACAATATAAATCCAATTGCAGTTGCTAGTGAAAATTACACTAAAATGTTGCAATGACAAAATATTGCAC